TAAGGTGCTTGCTTGCCTAGCATGCATGAAGCCCTGGGTTCAGTCCCAGCACTGCATAAAACCGGCTGTAGTGGAGCACAGGGCCAGGGAATGAAAAGTCCAAGGCAATCCCAACCCTCTGCTACGTAGCCAGTTTGAGCCCAGCTTGGGCCACGGAAGACTCTGTCTCTGATGGTGGTGTGGGTGTGGGTATGTGGGGGGAATCAAGTAAGAGAGAGACTATCAGGAGCCAAGAAAGCTCCCCCAGGAATCTTCCCTTGTGTGTGTTCACACTTGTGGATGAATCTAATACCCTCCTTGGAGATCTCTCCAAGGAGAATTCGCAAGGCAGCTGGGTAGACTCAGTTCCCTTCCCTCTCCCCACCCAGGTAGAAAACTGCTGGAACAGCTGCCAGGGCCACCCTGAGGCATGCTACATGTCTAGCGTACATGCTGCATGCTGGCACAGAAGGCTCGGTGCACGGACCCCACAGTGGATGTGCTGGGGCCCTTGACCCTCCATCCGTGCAAGGTGAGCCTGTTTGCCAGGACAGAACTACGAGGAAGTCTGCAGAAACATTCAGGCCCATCAGAAACCAGTAACCAGAAATGGATTTTTCACCTGTTTTTCCGATGAGGAAAAAAAATACTGAAGGGAAGAAAATAAAAGTATGTCTCACTGTCCACTACCCAAGTCACTTAAGCCACCCCTCCCTCCCACAAAAAATAACAAAAACAAAGCAAGAGATTAGCATTTCATTTACAAGCTTTAAATACCACATTTTCCATTGTGCCAGTGATAGAGATGGGAGCCAGAATGGGGAAGGGGGTGTGGGATTGCAACTCCTCCATTTCCCTGCTCTCCACATCTTGGCAGTCAAAATTCTCCTTTTTCTTTCTATGAGTATAGTCTCCATAGATCTCTCAGCAAAGGTAAAAGAACATACTATTTGTCTTTTTTGTGACTGGCTTGTTTTTACCTAACACATTATCTTCTGTGTTCTTCCATGGGATAGCACGTATCAAATTTTCCTTCTTCCTCTGTGTGTGTGTTTGAGTGTGTGTGAGTGTATGTGTGTGAGTGTGTATGCATGTGAGACTGTGTGTGTATGTGTGTGTGAGGGTGAGTGTGTGTGAGTGTGTATGAGACTGTGTGTATGTGTATGTGTGTGAGTGTGTGTATGCGTGTGTGTATGTGTGTGAGTGTGTGTTTATGTGTGTGTGTGTGTAAGTGTGTGTGTGTGTTGCTGGAGACTAATGATGGCTTTGCATATATTATATAAGTTCTCTCCCATTGATTTCTCCATCTTCTAGACCACAAGGAACTTTGAATTCAACTTACCCAAAACTAATATTTTGTCCCAAATACATCCCCCCTATGTTCTGCATCTTGCTGCATAATGCAACTATTCCTCCAAGTGCCAAATCCAGAAACCAGAATGAATTTTTGATTAATTCTATCAATTCCCTTTCTCTGCTACCTCCTGGATGTTCCCATTCTCCTGCCCTTGAGTGTCAGTCTTGGTTTGGGACATCTGTGATCCACATGCACCTCTGACTCCTGTCTAACTCTGATTTATCCTTCTCACTGAAGCCAAAGTTATGGGTTTTGTTTTTTAAAGATTTGTTTATTTAATAAATGCAAATGTTCTGCTTGCATGCATGTCTGTGCACCATGTGTGTGCAGTGCCAGTGGAAGCCAGAAGAGGGTGTTGGATCCCCTGAGCTGGCATTATAGATATCTGTGAACGTCCATGTCCTCTGTAAGAGCAGCCAGCGCTCTTAACCATGGAGCCTTCTCATCAGTCCCTTTTGTTTTTGTTTTTGTAAGACAGGGTCTTGTCATGTGGTGATGACTGGCCTCAAACCTGCGGCCATCTTCCTGCTTCAGCTTCCTGGGTGTTGGCACTACAGATATGTACTACCTCACTCAGCTCGGAGTTAGTCTCTATTTTTTTATTTCATTTTTTTTGAGATAGCCTAGGCTGGCCTCACATTTACTTAGAGCTGAAGATCACTTTAAATTCTCATTCTTCTACTTCTACTTCTTAAGTGCTGGGACCACAAGCATGGGACACTCACTGTCTTAAGTAGGGTTTCTATCGCTGTGAAGAGACACCATGACCATGGCAACTCTTACAAAGGAAAACATTTAAATGGGGTGGTTTGCTTACGGTTCAGAGATTCAGTCCATTATCATCATGGTGGGACATGGCAGTGTGCAGGCAGACATGGTGCTGGAGAAGGAGCTCGGAGTCTTACATCTTGCAGGCAACAGGAAATGGTCTGAGATACTGGGTGTGTCTTGAACGTATATGAGACCTCAAAGCCTTCCTCCACAGTGACACACTTCCTCCAACAAGGCCACACCTACTCCAACAAAGCCACACCTCCTAATAGTGCCACTCTCTCTTGGGGTCATTTTCTTTCAAACCACACACCCACCACAACACATACGTGCATTCTACTCCACCCTTGGTCCAGTGTTACCTTTTAAAACCAGACGTGATCCTATCCTCCCCTTTTCAGCATCCTTTAGACTCTCCCTAAGGGCTTCAGGATAAGCTCAAGGCCTTTAGGATGGAAGGTTATTTGTTGGAGGCTTGCATGAACCAGTCTCAGCCTACTCTTTCACCATATCCCTCTTTATCTGTGGAGTTCATGCCAAAGTCTGCAGTGGTCCAAATATGACACAGTTCTTCTCACCACTAATTCTTGATGCAACATTTTCTCCCTCTCTGTTCCCTCTGTTGTCTAACTCAGTGTCATCTTTGGCCCTCCATTTGGGCTGGGTTCTCTTATATGTTTCCATAGAAGCGTGTGTGCAATTGTAGTAGATATCATGGGGCCCTCTTACCTAGACTCAGGACTGTAACTTATGTATCTTAGTTTCCGCAGTGTCTAGTACAAAGCATAGTGCATGCTGTCTGTACCACTTAGATATACAGGGAGTCTTCCTGAGAACAGTGACAACTGTCCTGAGTCCTTAGATATGGCTAGGAATTGGCCAGATGATAATAGTCACGTAGCTCCTTGGTGACCAGGTGATTGCATTGGACTGCTTATAATCACAGACAACCAGTGTTTTGTCCTTACCGGCATAGACACTTCCTCTGGCTACTAATTTGCTTTGCCTGCCCATAGTGCATTTACAAGGCACCTCATCCACCATCCTAAACAGCGCTGCTTTGTGGGGCTTACTTCATGGCAACACTGTGGCAATGAGCCCACACTCATGTAATTCACCAGCTGTAACTGTTTCCCACCAGCCTGAAGCAGCCAGGGTGACTTTTAAAAACTTGGTTACAATGGCAGCTAGGTGACAATATTTTGTGGGACTGGGAGAATGTTCTTCAGAAGACTGTATGTGTGATCCAGATTCGCCAACACGTAGCACTTTCTCCAACAAGTTTTAGTGGTTCAAAGTACACCTAGTGATTGAGGAGCAAAATTTCTGCAATGTCATGAGCTGCTGGTCTAGATGTCTCTTGTTTCCAGAGAATGTTTCAACCAGGGACTCAAAGATTCCATTTAGTCAGAAGTTCAGACTAAAAGTGGTCACTTTGGCTTCCCCAAGCCTTTGTATCAAAGTGCTAAGGAGAGAATTGAAGATTACATTTCGGGTGTTTGTTCTCCATCACCAATACAAAATTGGACTACTACTCAATAGTAGAGCTGGAAGACTATTTGTGTGTGGGGGGGTGGTTACTCATGATCCTCAAGAGTGTCTCTTAGTATTTGCATGTCCTGTGATTAAGGTCAATGGAGAGCTACAATGACCCAAAGACTATTAATTACTCAGACTCTTCAGGGATGAAGACTCCTGTAGCATGAATAATAAAAACCCAGAGGCAGATGTTGGGGTTCAAGTTGAAGATCAGAAAAGCAAAGAAGTCAACCACTAGAGAGTTCTTACCTCTACCAAGGCTGGGGCATTTCTGTCCTTTGCATGGCTGGAGACTGAATGACCTGAGACCCTGAGCTCCTGTCTTACATTCCTCTCTAGTGCTGGGATTAAAGATGTACACCACCACTGCCCAGCTCCTATGACTAACTAGTGTGGTTGCTGGGATTAAAGATGTGTACCACCACTCCCTGGCCACTATGGCTGTGGATAGCTTTGCATTCTGATCTCCAGGCAAGCTTTATTAGATCATAAACAAATATCACCACAGGCTCCTGTCACTCAACCTGTATACAATCAAAATCAATTCTGGTGTTCTTCTGAAGGCAAAGGAGACGCAGAAGAGCAATGGAAGGTAATTATAAACACAACTCAGCCATAAGAGCATTTGCTGCTGTAGCTGAGGACCTAGATTTGATGCCCATACAACTTGCAACCATCCACAACTCCAGTTCCAGGGGATCCAGCATCCTCTTCTGGCCTCTCTGGGCACCAGGCATGCACAAAGTACACATACTTATTTTCAGGCAAAACACTTATACAGACAGTAAAAATAAATCTAAAAGAAACCCAGTAGCCATGATCACATACATGACCAGTTACAAAAAGGGGAACTATAATTTTCATATATTTCTCCCTCTTTTGTTATGAATATGTTTGTGTATATGAACATTTATGTTGTATTTATATCAAATATCTTTGCTTTTCTTTCTTCTTCCATTCCCCTGCCTTATAATTTAAGATCAAATTGACTCTTATGTCAGTATTCAAATACCGTTAATATTTCATTGTAGTACTTGGAAAACAGTAAACACCAGTCAAGGGCTTTACCCTTTCTTCCAGGAAGGATGAATACATTTTCTTTTCAAGTGTATGAAATATAAATATGCCATATTGGGTGGAACTATGACTTTTTAATGTCTTTGTTTAGAGATTAAGCATGACTAAAAAATGAAACTGAATATGAGTGTCAACTTAATAGAGAGGGTGACCTAGCTATGATATAGTTTCTGAGTCAGTTTGAGGGATGTCCAGGTGGCTGATAAAACATTGCTCTTGGGTATGTCTAGAAGAGATTAGCAGATCAGTACAGTGTTTAAAAAGACCCACCCTTACCAGTGCAGGAGGAAGCGTCCCTTGGAGTAAGGCCCGAGTCAAACAAAAGGGTAGAGGAGGGATGTCTTTGCTCCTGTTCTTGTTGCTGTGATAAAATATCCAGACAAAAATAAGCTCAACGGAGAAAGGGCTTATTTCAGCTCACAGTTCAAGGCAGCCGGTGACATCACAGTCAGGAAGCAGAGGGTGAAGGCACGCTGTTGCTTGCTCAGCTCTCGTTTTCAGGTACACAGTCTGCCATGGAATGGCGGTGTTCCCACCTCATTAACACAATAGAGCCACTCTCCCATGGGCGAGTGCACACACACTCAAAAGTCACCCAACACGATGGGTGCACACACACATAAGTCACCCAACACGGATGGGTACACACACACTCAAAAGTCACCCAACACAATGGGTACACACACACGTAAGTCACCTAACACGGATGAGTGCACACACTCTCATGCACACACACATAAGTCACCCAACACAGATGAGAACACACACACTCATGTACACACATAAACCACCCAACTTCCAGATCTTCTAAACTACCAGACAATTCTAGATTTTGTCACATTGACAAGTTAGACTAGCCATCACAAAGTACAAGTTTGCTCTTTGTGTTTGAGTTGGAATGTCCATATTCTGTCACCCTTAAAAGTCAGTACTCCTAGTTCTCAGGTTCTTGGACTCAGACTGAACTATGTCACCAACCACAGCAGTCTGTGGGCTTCTTCTAAGTTATATACACACCCTTGTGGTTCTGATGCTCTGGAGAGCCCTGCCTGATGCAAGAGATCAAGAACCATCTCAGGTGATGGAAACAATTAACAAAGATGTGCCTATGAGATATGGAGACAGACAGACAGGCAGACAACAGTATGGCTGAGAACTGCATGTTATTCAAGGTGGCCTGAGCCCAAGGCAAGGAGAAATGGTCATAGACAAAGCCATACCATGTTTGCTGGCATCAGGAAACCCAGGCTACCAAAACATGGAAATATGATACAAAGCCCACTAAAGATTACCTGCAAGCATCAGGGTTCAAGACTCAGCAGTCTCTGGTAGAGTAAAGCATGACATCCTCTCAGAGTATTTGGATTCAGTGATGGATGGACTGTCACCAGAGTTTAAGCCCCAAGTGCTCCTCAGAGGTCTGTGTGTGAGAAACTTGGTCACCAGCCTGTGATGTGGCAGGAAGTTAGGTCACGAGGGTTTGTTCTGGAAGTGGATATGGGACCTCAACTCCTTCCTTTCTCCCTTTGCTTCCCAGCTGTAGCTATGGGAATAAACCTCCTGTGTCATATGCTACCATCATTATGCACTGTGCCACCAGAGGCTCAAAGCAAAGGGCTGACAACCATGGACTGAAACCTCTGACATGATGAGTTCAAATGACTCCTTCCTCCTTTAAGTGGGTTCTCTCAGGTGTCTGTTACAGTAAGGTAGAGCTGACTCTCACAGTTATGCACTGAGGTCCTCCCTCACACCCTTGCTGAACTGGACAGGCTAGTACACTAACACTAACAGTCTAGGGAGGTAACGCTGTTGGTCGAGCCCTTCCGTAGAAGTAGAGCACAGTCCCTAGCAAGCACGAATCCCCAGGCTCAGTCCTTAGCACTGAATAGCCCAGGCTACCTACAATCCCAGCACTCAGGAGGCAGAGGCAAAAATGATCAGAAGTTTCTAGTGAATCTGAGGTCAGCCTGGACTACATGAAACGAGATAACCAAAACAGGAGGAAGAGGAAGAGGAAAAGGCCTGCCAGACAGGGAAGACATGTCCTGCAGGGATTGTCACACGGCAGGTTCAGATCTGCACACTAGTCTGCAGACGCCAGTCTCCTAGCTAAGGGGAGGCCCCGATTCTGATGTTTGTCCCTCAGCCCCTAACCAGACCTCAGGGCATTTGCTGTTTGTACGTGGTGTATTTGTTACCTACTACCCAGTCCCCTCTCTTTCTCTGCCCCTTACCTTACCTGACGAATCTCGCTCGATCTTTTACTTAGACACACTTTTGAGCCTGTTGCCAACAGCCTTTCAGAGCCTGTCTCCCTCTCTGGCCAGGCTCAGATTCTAACAGGGTTCCCAGGTCAACTCCCTGGGTTCAGCCTGTCTCGATCTTTGACCCTCAGGTCTGAGTTAGTGAAGGAAGAATGTGCCCTTGGGTCCCTGGTTTGGCTGCGAAAGGTCAGCAACTGCCACACTGGAAGCCTGTGCAAACAGGCCACAGCCAAAAATAAAGAGGGAGGTACCGCCCCACAAAAAAAAAAAAAAATCACTGAGTCAGTCTGGTCTCTGCCCGGGGAAACATTCCCTGGTTAAGTCACACCCTCCACCCTCTGAGGCCGCTCAGAAAGACGGCTTTTAAAGAAGTTGGAATATGGGGACATTTCCCAACGACAGCAAAAGTTGGCTGGTTGGTTTCCATTTGCTGCCACCTCCCGGGAGAGGTGCGAACTGCAGGCCTGCGGGTGTGGATGTATGTGGGGGGGGGGGTTAGGAGGGGGGAACAGACGGATAAGGCCACCCTGGAAAAACAGGCCCAGGGTAAAGTGCACCTTTGTGAAGCCACTACTGGGGGGAGGGTGACAGTCACAGACAATTTGGATGCAAAAGGGAGGAAGGAAGCCGGGCGGTGGTGGCGCACGCCTTTAATCCCAGCACTCGGGAGGCAGAGGCAGGCGGATCTTTGTGCGGTCGAGGCCAGGCTAGACCGATAGCCTCCGAAACAATACAGAGAAACCCTGTCTCGTAAAAACCAAAAAAAAAAAAAAAAAAAGACTGAGAAAATCCATTCCTCTAATAGCAAGAGATGCATAAGGTGCAGATGGAATGTATCTTTGCATTATTTATTATTATTATTATTGCTTAGTAAACATACTTACAAAATGAAAATGTATTCTTGACTAGTCCTCTACCCAGAAAAAAAAAGGGGGGGGAGGAAAACGTTCTGACTGGAAGCCCTCCTCCTCCAATGGGTTATAAGTCCTCCGTTTGTAAGCCATCAGTACCTCCTATGAGTCCTTCACCTTCCCCACTCCCCCCATTTCCACTTCTCTCTTGCCTGATGGAAACCTCCCTTCCTCCTCCTTCCTAAACAGCGCCTGCCTCCCCTCAATCCACCCTGCACACAGCAGCCAGTTAAAAACCACTAAGTGGCTCATGGATGCCCTTAGGAGGCCGACTCCACAACCCAAGGTCCTATTGTTCCCCCAACTCCTCAGACCCTCCCTCATGCAGGCAGGCACTAGAGCTTTCTAGTCTAGGACATCACAAACTCGTCCTCACCTTCAGGAAGTCCCTCTCTCCAGTTCCAATCCCCTTAGATAGCTGCTCAGGCAATAATCACTGCTCAAGGAAACTCCCCAGACAGTCAAAACCCAGGTACTTCTGCCGCCAACTCTCTTAGGTTTCACATGCTTCGCCTCACGGCCAGCACCACAGTTTAATGACCTCTGTGTATATTCATTTAATTTCTCATTCCCCCTAAACTGTAAATTCGTGTCACTGATATCTGGCACACACACATTGAACTTGACAGGACCTGAGGACTTTTTTTTTTTTTGAAACAGGGTCTCTATGTAGCCCTAGCTGTCCTGGAACTCGCTCTGTAGACCAGGCTGGCCTCAAACTCACAGAGATCTACCTGCCTCTGCCTCCTGAAGGCTGGAATTGCTCTCACTATCACCACTCCAGACTATGTGGATTTTTTTCCCATGCGGGAATAGAAGAACGGAGAAGTCTGGCTTGTGTGTTGGTAACTTTTCTCATTGCTCTAACAAAGGCAGCTGAAGGACCTGGGGATCTCCCTGGGCTCACAGTTTGCAGGCACAGGAGTGTGAGAGGCAACTGTCACATTGTGTCTTCAGTGGCAGAAGCAGAGAGACACGAATGTCCTCAGCTTTTCCCTTTTTGTCCAGTCCGGGGCCCCAGCCTGTGGAATGGTACCACCCACATTTAGGGTTGGGCTCCCCACCTCAGTTAACCGGTTCTAGGAATGCAGAGGAAATTCTAGGTCCTGCCAAGCTGACAATCAGTATTAACCATGGCAGAAGTGCACTGGTGGATAAGGGGGAAACGGGGTGTAGAATTGTTGCAGGGTATTTGATCACACTCTGCACCCCGAGGTTGTGTTATTTACTGGAAAAACTTGTTTCTAGTTGTGGTGTGGCTCAGCCCTAGCACACATCTTTAATCCAAGAGTTTTCTGGTGAGTATTGTAAACAGGATTCAATAAAGTCAACCATAGGTCAAGAGGCAGAACAAGCAACCAGTTGACAGGAAGTGAACATAGAATTATTTTTTTAAAAAAGGGGGGGGAGTCAGGATGGCCGATAGAGGTTGCCCAGGAAGTAGAAGGGAGGGCACTGAGTGTGAGGAGGTGGATGGAGACAGTGGAGAGAGGGAGAGAGGGGGAAGGGCAGCCATCTGTTCTCTCTGCCTCTCTGAGCTAGCAGGCTTTCACCCCAGCATTTGGCTTCTGGGTCTTTATTGGTACAGTTGAATGACTGAGATTTTGTTAAAAGCAACATAGGATAAATGGAGCAGAACTGAGAAGTCAGGTGACGAGAGACCATGGAGGGAAGGGCACTGGACTGATGACTTCTAAAATCCTGATGGGCCAAAGGTAGCTCAGTGGTAGGGTACTTTGTGAGGCCCTGGGTTCAATCCCTGGTACCACAGGAAAAATAATAATAAAAGAAAACATTGAAGCCCTCTGTTTGAACTTAGTTCATGTTGCTTTTATAAAACATCTGACCAAAAAGCAGCTAAGGGGAGGAAAGGATTTATTTGACTTACATTTCCATGTCACAGTCCCTCAGTGAGGAAGTCAGGGCAGGAACTTGAGGCAGGGACCATGAGGAACCCTGCTTGCCGGCTCACCCTCTGGCTTACGCTCAGCTTTCTTGTGTAGCCCAGGCCCACTTTCTTAGGATAGTCCACCCACAGTGGGCTGGGCCCTCCCACATCATCCATCCATCAGTCCTTCACAGACATGGTCACAGGCCAACCTGCTTGGGCTACCCCTCAATTGAGGCTCAGGTGACTCTAGACTGTGTCAATCAGGCAGCTTAACTAGTGAGGGCATGCTCAGGCACTCTCTCCAGGTTTCAGAATAGGTGATGCCATTTGTACAGCGGAGGGAGTCAGATCTGAGCGCCATATTCTGAGGCCCAGGAGGGTGGGATTCATTCAGTTAGTAACCCTGTTTTGAGTCTCTTCTCTAAGTAGTTGTGACTCCTCTTAGACACCAGAGGGCACTCTTGAGACTCTTCTGGGCGGCTTGTCATGGACGAGCACTGAATGTGATTGTAGCTGGAGTCAAAGCCCTGTTAACTATGCAGCAGACTGGGCCAGGAGTTCTGGAGAGGTGCCCTGTTTCTGTAGTGCCAGGCAGGTGACTCACAGACATCGACACTGGCTGTTTGTTTTGATTGCTTACTGTGTTTTAATCTCCTTTCTTGGACAAAACAGAACCTTGACGTTCTGGTTTTAGGATTAATCTTTTCCCTTATATTCTGGTGGGACACTAAATCAAGAAATGTTTTACAATGGCCAAGAGTGGGCAGATCATCTAGCACGGGCACTCACAGAAGCTCTGAGAGTGAACGTGTGTGTGCTATGCGCATGTTCATCCGTGTGCATGTTCATCTGTGTGCATGTTCATCAGTATGCATGTTCATCCGTGTGCATGTTCATCCGTGTGCATGTTCATCCGTGTGCATGTATGTTCAGATGTCTGCAGATGCATGTGGATTCTTCCTCAATAGTTCCCTTATTTTAAGGTAGGGTTTCTCATCAGTTCAGCTAGACTGGCTCTCAGGATCCTATGCCCCTACTTGCTCTCTGCTGGGCTTATAGGCAGCAATGCTCAGCTTTTTATGAGTGCAGGGGATCCAAACTCAGGGACACATGCTTGCATGTCCTCGCAAGCACTTTACCAACTGCTCCATCTCCCAGTCCCAAGAGAATGGATCTTCTTTATAGTTTTCTTCTATAGTATCGGGGACCAAACCTAGAATTTGACGCATCCTGGGACAGTGCTCTACTGTGGGAGCCACCAGCCCCCTGAGACTGAATCACAGACAGAGCCATCCATCATCAGAAATGAGGGCTTGGGCACCTCCATCCCCTCTTTAGCTCCCAGATGGACAGCTGACCAGTTTCTGTGGCACCTGTCCCATTTCAAGACTGGTTTTCCAGCCTCCTGCCGGCTTTGAGCTGCTTCACTGCTGCTCAGAAAACCCTCCTTGTGATTGATTGGCTGAAGCTGGTTGTGTTTTATGCCCCCAAGGAATCAAGAAAAATTAGTATCTGGTTCATAACTTCTACTAGATTAAATACAGATGGGGGTCCCAGTTCAAATCCTAGAATGGGAGCTACCAAGAAAGGAGATAGCTGGGAGCATCTGAAGTCCAGTCCATCGCAGCTTTTGGGGACTAAGCAAGAGAAGGAAGGTAGGCGCAAGATCTCTTTTAAAAAGGTTTGTGTGTGGCCCGGCATTGGTGGCGCACGCCTTTAATCCTGGCACTCAGGAAGCAGAGGCAGGCGGATCTCTGTGAGTTCGAGGCCAGCCTGATCTGCAGAGTGAGTTCCAGGACAGGCTCCAAAGCAATACAGAGAAATCCTGTCTCGAAAAAAACAAAACCAAAATAAAATAAAATGAGGTGTGTGTGTGTGTGTGTGTGTGTGTGTGTGTGTGTATGTGGGTGTGTGTGATGCACATACATGCCCTTGGAGACCAGAAGAGTGAATCAAACCCCCTGAAGCTGGAGGTACAGGCAATTGTGAGACACCCAAATTGGGTACTGGAAACTGAACCCCAGGCCCTCTGAAAGAGCAGCAAACCCTTGTAACCACCAGCTCCTAACTGTACTATCTTAGTGAAACTCTCTTAGCCACAAGAACAGCCAGTATCTATAAACAAGGAAGGCCAGAAACAGAGCTCAGAAAAATCTATATTCCTGAGACATTGGGAGGTACAGCATTGCAAAGATCCTCAGCCTTCCCTAGGGACAGATGACTGCAATGGTGCCACAATTCAGGATGCTATCAGGCAGATAACTAAGGAAAAAATGTCCCTTTCTGTTTGATTTGTTTTTTGTTGTTGTTTTGTTTTGTTTTTCAAGACAGGGTTTCTCTGTATTGTTTTGGAGGCTGTCCTGGAACTTGCTCTGTAGACCAGACTGGCCTCAA